CATTACACCCACACACACGCCAACCTTACACACATACACACGCATGCATGCATAAATTTTATTTTGGAGCCTTCATCCAGCAGGTTAACCAAGTTTAAAATTTAAAATCCACATAGAAAGGTGTCAAATCAATATATAACCAAATGGGATGCGATGATGATGACGATGAATGAATGAATGAATGTATGAATGAATGAATAAATGAATGTACGAATGAATGATAAATGAATGAATGAATCTGTGACAAATATGATATTTCAATATGATAGTAATGATAGCAATGATGAAGGAATGAATAAGTAGATAAATTAAATGAATGAATGAATTAATGAACGAATGAATGAATAAATAAATGGAATGAATGAATGGCTAATAAAGATTGTTAAAAATTAAATTTTGTGGCAAGGGCTAGATACCGATGTCATTTCGATGACGATGATGCTTTAAATAGTCAACGCTAAACAACTGTTGTTACTAGTATATTTAATATAATTATGACTATTATATAATATAATTAATATAATTAATGCAATAATTATTAACATACTCAATTTAATAATTATTCGTATTTTTCTTCAGAATAGGATGGCATTAAAAAATAAGATTAAAAGACAAAAACAAATGTGCCAATTATGATTGTAACCGTAATAATGGTTGTGGTGTTGTTTCTCTGGAATAGAATTCAGCAAATAATTAAACAATCAATCAATCAATCAATCAATCAATTAATCAGTCAATCAGTCAGTCAATCAATCAATCAATCAATCAATCAATCACTCAATCAACTAATTCAATTATTTCCAAACGTTGGTGGTGAGAAGAAACAAATTTGCATTATGAAATTATGTTTCTAAGGGGACAATTATTTTTCATAAATAATAATAATAAATTAATTAATGATAATTAATAATAATAATAATAATAAAATAATAAAAATAATAATAGATTGTATGAGAATGCAGATGTGGAGAGAACAAGAAATTATCCAAGGAGTTAAAGAAATCCATTAAGTCTTGCACAATAGCAATTACGACTTGTTTGTTTGTTTGTATGTATGTGTGTATGTATGTATGCATGTATGTATGCATGTATGTATGTATGTTTATGTTTGTTAGTGTGGTTGAACGTATGTAAAAAAAAAACCTGTGTCAATGTTTGTCTGTGTTCCTACGTGATGAAATGATTATGGAAACATCATTATGTTAAACATCGTCATCACCATCATCATTATTACGATCATCATCATCACCAGCAACAACATCATCATAATCATCATCAACAACAACAACAACATCATCATCGTGGCTGACCAGTGCCAGGTGTCCAGGGTATGCGTGGTAGGGATGGATGAATGGAGAATATCCGAATGATGAGAACCTTCTGGAAAACGGATTGTCGATCAGTCCATCTTAAATGAATAAATGAATGAATGAATGAATGAATGAATGAAAAATTGAATGAAAATAATTTTATCTAATTAAATCGATAATTGAAAACCTTTTTCAAAGATAATTAATTAGACTAATCACTAAACAATTCATCAGTTTCTTCTTTAGCTACAATCAAACTCTTTATACGACGACACGAATTTCAGTTTCTACACAGACGGCATTCGAACGCGGTCAAGGCACAACGACGACGAAAAATACAGCACCCTTACCGTCTGAGCTAAGGTATTAGTCAATCAATCAATCTTCGTGATTGGTTGGTTGATTAGCCACTCTTAAAACTCTATAGGTTTTAACCAGGAATAATATGATTATTTTACTCACTGAGATGCAGTTTATTTTCTGGTGATAACGGTCCATCTTCACATATGGTGATGTTCTAAGAATAATAATCATAATAATAATTATTACTATTTTTATGATAAAAATAATAATAATAATTAGTCATCACCATCATAATCAACGTTATTATTATTATTATTTATATAATTATTCTGTTATTGTAATTATTTAGATATTATTATCATCTCGGATAATTGTCGTTAATATATTATATTTCCATAATTATCAGTAAGAACTAAGATAGGTGAATATTTTTTTTACATAATTGCCAATATAACTTTTTGTGTTATGAATACGTGATATGATGAGGATTATTAAATTATAATTTATGAGCTGGTGTTGGTGTATAAATAACTCGTTAATTGATTGAGTAATTAATTAAATAGTTAACTAGCCAATCGAGTCAATCAATCAATCAGCCAATCATTTTTCTGACCAACCAACCAACTAAATCATTCAACGGATCAACCAATTAACGAACTGATCAACGAGCCAGCCAACCAGCCAAAACATCAATCAATCAAACAATTAATCAACCAATCAATCAATCAATCATTTAACGATATTCAACCAATCAGTTAATCAATCAATCACTGCGCCATTTAACCAACTAATCACCGAAACAACCAATCAATCAATCAACGAACCAATCAATCAACCAACTAACAAACCAAACAAACAATCTACCAACCAACCAATCAACCAATCAA